TATGATCCATACAGTTAAATCTTTCTCTTTTAGACAATTTTAAATGGAATAATTTTTCATTGAATTGTGTTTTGCTTTTATTTATTTATTTAATGCTGAAATTTTAAAAAGTGTTGTTGCCCACTGCTCACTGCTTTTTGCTTGCTACTGTTTGCTACCCACTACCCATTGTTGCTTGCTACCTGTTGGATATTAATGTTTGAGACTTGGAATTTAAGTGCTATAATTGGTTAAGATGTTTATTATTGCTTGTTGAATGTTGTTTGAGAATTAGACTTTTTGGATTGTAATTTGCTATGTATTGTATGTGTTTATATTGTTTAAGACTTAGACTAAGAGTTTATGAAGCTTGTATTTAGATTTTATTTGAGTATTGCTCATTAATTTAGAGCTTGTGAATTACTCACTGATTTAGAGCTTATGTTTTACTCACTGACTTAGACTTTATAAAGCTTATGTGTTGCTCATTGATGTTATCTAATATGTAGACTTACTATGTATTGTGTATTACTCACTGATTTAAAGCTTGAGACTAAATTTACTATGTATGAAGCTTGTGTTTATGAAGTTTGTGTTTAGATTTTATGAAGCTTGTGTTTATGAACTATATGAATTACATTAAAAGTTGAATACAGGAAATAAGAAATCATAACCTATTATGCCGAAAAAATTGATTGAAAATGACAAGATTAAATTGGTTCAATTTTTTCAGTTTTATATTATTATTTGATCAGTTCGGTTTTATCTTTAGATTAAGTCGGTTAAATCGATTTTTGGATTTTTTGAAATGAATTAACCGAATTAATCGATTGCTTAATCCTATTCACCGAGTAACTAACACAAAATTAACTAAAACTAAAATTGACCTAGATATAGGCAAAAGCTCAATCCCTCCAAACCAATGTCCATGGAATTGATTCCACCGTCATGTGCTTTCTGATGCCTCCTCTAAACATCTAAATGGAGATCTGCATTAAAAAAAAAAGAGAGAAGAACTGGTCTCTACTCGAAACTGAAGTTATAAAACTTAATCAATTTGCATCATATATATGTATATATAAAATGAAAGTAGAAACCTTCTATAACATGTTAATCAAAATTGATAGATTTGCCTAAAACCTCATCAAGTAACTAACACAAAATTAACTAAAACTAAAACTAAAACTAACTTAAATGCAAGCGAGAGCTTGATCCCTCTAAACCAAGGTCCATATAATTGATACCACAGTCATGTGCTTTCTGATGCCTCCTTCGAACTTTCGAATAAAGACTTGCACAAAAAGAAATGAAAGAAAGAACTACTCTCTACCCAAAAATAAAATTATGAAACCTAATGGGTCGGCCTCATATATATAAGATGAGAGCTATAACTTTCCTTAACATGTTAATCAAAATTGATGGATTTACTCAAAACCTTATCGAGTAACTAACATGAAATTAACTGAAACTAAAACTGCCTAAATGTGGGCGAGAGCTCAATCCCTCTAAACTAAGGTCCATAAAATTGATATCATCGTTCTATAATATTTGGTGCCTCCTTCTAATATTCGAAAAGGAGACTTATTCAAAAAGAAATGAGAAAAAGAATAATTTTCTACCTGAAATGAAAGTTATAAAACCTCATATATATATATATATATATATATATAGAGAGAGAGAGAGAGAGAGGATGAGAGCAAGAAACTATTAATTAAAATTAACCTATCTTATTATAAATCTAAATACCAAATTAACTCAGAACTATACCTAACAAATATTATACTATCAATTTATGTATATCACAAAATAATATCATAATAATTATTCATTAATTAATATTAATTAATATAATTTCATACACAATGACTTTAGTCTACCAACATAAAATAAACACAATATAATATAATTTAGGGACGGTGTGGCTAGACAGGTTGCTGATGCAAGGTTTTTGGTGGAAAAAGCGATCAAGTTGAAAAATAGTAGACTGGGCACAAAGCCCTTGGCAAGGATCTAACAAAAATTAGAGAAAAATGTTGTGATATCATGTTACAAAAAAAGTATTTATTGTGTTCTAAATTATTGGAAATTTGTATATATAAAAAATATTCTCACTAATCTTAGAAAGAATCAAGCTAATCAGATCATAATCTCTATAATTTGTATAACTACAACAATTTTCATTAACAAATGCTTTTTCAATGTAGTAATTATGCACATATTATTGCTTCAATAAATTTATGTAATAATCTCATAAATAAAAAAAATATAGGAAAGGCGAAAGTGCGACTTGCCTGTTTTTAATTATTTCACTCACTGTGGTTGGTGCAACATATATCACGAAGAGACAGCTCATCTCTCTCACACAAAGTGGGCATAATGAGATATGGAACTGCACCAACACTACTAAATCAGATTCTAAAGTAAACAAAAAGAATGAAATGTTGGAGCTGTTTTTCACACAATTAATGTTTTTTAACTCGACAAAGTGCGCTCAGTCTTACTACTAGTAATGCCCACACATTGGCGGCCGCAACACGTCTTTCTGGAAAGCTGAATCCATTAATTATTATACGAGGACTATGGACTAAAATCTTATCAGAATACAGCCTCTATTTGTAATGCAGTTTTTTATTTGATAAATGCTCCTCCAGAAAGATCAAATCACGTTTCAGTCATCCATACATTTTCTTCTGCTTTATGGATAAATAATTTCAATCAAAAGTTTGATTTCTATCATTTTGGATATTTTCATTTAACTTCAAGTGATTATCAGGAAAAAAAAAAAAAAAAAAAAGAAAGACCTCACTTAAACTGCTTTGTATTTTAAAGAAGTTTATATGCGATGAATTTTTAATTTATAAATTTTATACTTGATTAGTGAATTAGATTATATTATTTTAATAAATAAAAATATTAATTTTTAAAATAAATATATAAAAATATTAATATTTTTAAAAAAATTTATTTATTAATTAAATGATATTATTTGATTTATCTCGTTAATAATGTGATATTATTCGAATTGTTAACGATATTTTTAAATCCAAATGACATAACAGTTTTTTTTTTATTATAAACTATCAACAAAAAACTAAAAATATTTTAGATTTTTGAATCAAATTAACGTGTCAAGCCAACCTGATTTCACATTGCCTTATCAGCCTTACCACCTTATCAATCTATCATGTAGACCCCTCCTAATTGCTGATTTGTCATTATCATATTGGATGATCATCATGCCAGATCATTTAGGGCTGACCTCGGGTGACCTAGGTTGCCCATGTCCCCTCTCATTATAAGTATAAATAAGATTATCTAAGTATTATTTCACCATCTTACTTTTTTCTACTGATCTTATATTCTCTTTTCTTTTATTCTCTTCTGTCAATCTCTAATTTTAACATCGAAATACAAATGCTTGACTACTTTTAATTTTTATTTTTAATCATTTTTTTTCTTAATTTGAGAATTTTACCCCTAATAGATTAGCTCAACATGAGTCATTAATAATATATACAATTTATATAATAACAATATATCAAATAAAAACTTTATATATTTTTTATTTTGTGCATAGCTTTGTATTTTATAGGAGAAAGCTCTGTATTTTTTTGGTGCATGACTTTGCATTTTAAAAAAAGTGCTTGATGATAGCGACAACAAATAAATGTTATTGAGAAACTCGATAAACTTCATATATTAAATTTTCCCTCCTAGAAGAGTCTAAACCGAAATAATTGGTACAAGTCCAAATTTCGTAGGCTAATGGATGCATGAGAAAATGGGTAATATCTGAAGCGCGTATGTGCACAGAATTAAGTCCGAACTTAAAAGCCATCACCTCAGGCTGTTACCGGCTTAGGATTAATACCGGAGATATTTCAGCATTAGTGAGAAGAATCCTGGAGCTTTGCACCCAAAAAAAAAAAGAAAAGAAGAATCCTGGATCAGTTAACTTTGGTGGTTACGTGAAGATGAGAGTTGCAGGAGAATGTGATCATTACCAACTGGGATTCCCTTTTTGTTTCTTTTCCATTCATCCTTGTAATACAAATACTAATTTTAAAGATGTTCAAAATAAAAAAATAAAAAAAAGAAACCACAATCAATCGAGCTTTTCAATTATTTTTACTTAAATTTATACATTTATTTTTATTTGTAGAGTGTATTTTACTCCAAGATTCCCTTAAATTTTTAGCACCATTAGCTTTAGACTTGGCTTTAACTTAGCAAGTTTTTTAACCATAACTATGCCAATTCCAATCTTGTTGGAAGTATCAGAGACAAGTTGGGTAATAGATAGAAAATCATCCCAACATATTTTAAAATAAAATCTTATACTTTAACATGCATCTTCACATGCTTACATCGTTTTTAAAGATCAATATATAGACCATCAAAAGCTGCAATCTTATGGAAATCTCTTCGTTAAAATATTCATAACTAAATCTATTCATTAAAAATATTCATAACTGCGTGATTTTACGTTAAGTAAAGAAGAGGTATGCTTTTTAATCTTTTACTCTAATCGAGTTGGTTCAATTGGGGCTGAAGGCTAGGTTTAGTGTAAGTGAATAGATCGCTTTGATTAATTGATTCCTTTTTTTTTTTTTTTATAAATGACAAATTTTGTGACATTAAGGCCTGCCCAACCAATTATCGATTACAACAATAAAAATTAGATAACGACTCCAATATTACCTCAAATGGCAGTAATTCCAGAGTTTGGTTAAAATCTAAAGTTGTAAGAGTTAAATTCAAGTTACACTATTGTGACAACTAATTATTACACTTTTTTATAATTTATAATTCAATTAAAATTTTAACTAATTAATCAACCTATTTACCTAAATACTTAATTTCCATAATTAGTATCTAAATTTGACTTTTTCTTCCTTATGTTTGATAACTTGTTAGTTATAAATTAATATCAATTAAAATTTTAGAAAAGAAAATTTCAAAACTTTGAATAAAATAATTTTTAAAAGAAAAAAACGCAAAGGTTACATGACAATACGTGTACTGCCGAAAACGGCAAAGAAAGCTCAATCTGTAGAAGAAAATTTCAATTCCATTTTAGCAGTTAATAAAGCTAAAACTCAATTGTTTATCAAAAAGAAATTTATAAGAAAATGTAAGAATAGGAGATTTGAGAAAATATTTTTGATGCAATATCTTTAGAAATGATCATCGACTCGTTGGATTTGGTTTGCCACTCATTCGTCTGTTGTGATCAACTATATAACTGTACACTTTGTGGCATACTCTTCCTGCTACCTAGATGAATGAAAACTCTCCAATGGCACTCATTTCAAAATTAATGCTTCTTTTGCATTTGCTTTTCTCTTGGTGCTGCACTCTGTCTGGCCTGTTTATTATCAACAACACTCAGTCAAATCCAAGCGCAAAACTTGGGCAACTACCTGCCTCCCTCGAAATCTTGACTTCTGTAGAATCCTTCGTTGAATCAATTATCTCATTATAAGTATGGGCAATTCCACTTGAGCTACCAAGCACCGATGCTTCATTACACCATTTACTGTATGCTTTCAAATTCTCTGAATAAGGCTGCACGAATCATTACACGCTTTGTAATTGCACCCAAATCACTAGTCAGAGATTGCAGTTCCAACAAAAAATAAAATAAAAAATAAAAGAAATGGTTAAAGAAACAATTGAACAGCACAACAATGTTGATCATAGGTTAGGCAAGCCTAAAAGAGCTTCATAAGTATTCATATGGTTAAAGCTTTCATCAACCCCGCCCCCCCCCCCCCCCCCCCCCCCAAACCTCAACTATCTGCCATCTAAATGCCTATCCAATTGGAGAATTTGTGTGCCCGGTTAAAGAACTTATGCTACTAGGTGTCTGGATATAAGCACCTACATTTCTGATATGGTATCTATCTTAATTGGTGGCAGCAGCATACAAATGTGCCTGAATTGTTCAATAATCCTAAGGCTTATAACTGGAAAGGAGGAAAACAAAGCTTCCATAAAGTTCACACCTGTTATACAACAGTAATTAGCTAGTGTTAAATAGTACATGCAAACAAAAAATGAAAATTGTGGATGCAGTAAGGGAAAAACAGCCCAAACCTGATGTGAGTTTCCAACTTCAGTGTTCTTGGAGGATTTATTGCCACTAGAACTTGATTTTGCCAGAGAGTCCAATCCTGGTCAGAAAATTACCAGACAATTATTGACAGACTTCATTTGGGGTTGATAGTTTAGTTTTCATTGCCAATCTCATGGAAAACCCTGTTCCCTCTGCTTAGCACTATGTCCCTCCAGGGGTGTTTTAGTGATAATTTAGGAAAAACCAGAAGCAAATAATGTTTCAATTGCACATGATTGCATTTAAACTTGCCTTTAGTATAGAGATCAGGGGATTTTTTTATGTCTATGCATTCACTTGATTCCAAATTATCCAGTTTTCCACTTGATCCATGACGTGCTATTAATATCATTGGTAGTGGGTTACATTCAAGAATATTTCTAGTAGAATCTGAATTTTGAGGGTCCTCCACAGAGGGGACTGGATTCGTGATGTTATTATCAATACACTGCATGGCAGCGCTGTATTGCATCATAGGTTTCTGGAGGATGGACAGGATTTGAGCAGCTGCAAAGGTAAAACATATGATTAATTGCTTATGACATCAGTGCAGTGCTAATCAAAATCATGAATTACTTTAGGAATTGGCCCTTGAGTGAGACCTCAGTTTGATATCTTCATTTTTCCCACTTTTATTTTTGCCCTAGCAAGCATCTAAGCTATTGTGAAAGTTTATATATGACATCAGTAAGTAGCATATAGGCACCATGTATCGAAATATTCCTTAATTTACTCTCAAGGACACTGCACAGGATAAGAAATTAACCAACAAAACAAGCAGTCAAGCTAGTCACTGACCAGTAAGAGAATATCCATACTGTTAAATTTTTGCCTCTCCATATGAATGCTATGGGGAGAGAAACATGAAGCCATGTACAAAGGGAAGGAAAATTGGTAGAAGAAAAAAATTTTCTTAAAGTTTGTTGGTTTTTGTTATGTACGATGATCAGATCAAACTAAGAATGCATTTACCATCACGTAGAGGCTTGTTTGCAGATATATTCTGGTTTAATTTACTCTCACCAACACTTGAGATGCTAAAACTTGGTTCTGCATCTATCTTTGAAGAAGCAATTTTTTGAGGTTTTCCTGCATGATGAAACCAAAACATTTTCAGATGGAATTATAAGGACCAAAAAGGGAGAACCAAAAACTTAGAACCAAAAAAAAAAAAAAACATAAAAATAAGTCAAAATAAAATACGAGTGAAACTCCATTACTTTTTAGAGCTAAACAACTAAGACCATCCTTATGAAAAGAAGAAATATAGTAAAGAAAAATTAAAGTGTTCAGTTCAGACTTAGAAAATATTACACTATGGTTCATAAAAGGAAAAAATATATACACGAATAGTATCAAATCAGTTTTCTGGAGAAAAGTGTTACATAAATAATAATAGATATGAGACTCAAGAATACATGGAAAGCAAAATTGCCTTCAAAAGATTAACTGATAGAAAGAAAATTGCCTTCAAAAAATTAACTGATAGAAAGAAAGGAATTCAATCAAATACCATATAGGAAATGCAACTTAAATCATCAGCACTGGCAGTAGCTAACCTTGCAAAAATGATTTATTGGTTTTAAGACAATTCTGCACTCTGTGGATCATCCTTGTTTTTCCAGCAACATTGCAATTGCTTAGACGGACATCTGAGTCCATCACGCCCTGACAGTTTCCTTCAGCTTCTCCAATATTTACCAAATGAGCATCAAATGCTATTGATTCACCGGATTGTATTACTTCGTCTTTCTTGAGGAATCTACTATCTATCAACTTCTTGCTTCCATCATATAACATAATCTGAATTAAAGACCCAATAAGCAAGTCTGAGCATTAATTACACTTTGTAAGGAGCTATGAGAAAATGGAATTGAACTAAGCCAATCTGCAATTAAGTACATAAAAATACTAGGCTGGGAACAAACTTATGAAGCAGGTAACTAAAAAAACCCATGCAAAGAAAAGAAAAAGACTTATGAACTAATTTATTTCTTAAAATTGACAAAGAAGAATATTCTGATTGTCAGGAGAAAGAAGCAGCAAAGTTTGTGAACATAGACCTGCCTCTGCAGTGTTCCAGAAATTTTGAGTTGTAAGAAACCGTCATGGTATTTCTTGGCTTTTTGAGTAACTTGTGTAGTGTACATGACCTGCCATTCTAAAATAAGAAAAAACGTGTTAGTCTGAAGAAGGGTATTAAATCAAAGGGAAAATTACAGTACTCTTACATAAAATTTCAAATATAAGCAGCTACGAAGCAAGGACTCGAAGATGCAATACGGGTATGACAGATACGGACAAGGCGACAGCAATTTAAAAAATTGAGGACACCAGCCCTTGAATGTCTAAGCAAGAAGTCCTTAGGGTCAACAGTCTCAGTGTTTCAAGGCAAGTCCAAGGCAGGAACGAGATAGACCTTGCAGTACTCTCAACTGCAGCCTTGGCGTCCAGCTTGGAATAACTTTCCCAGGAATATTTGGCAGACAAGAGTTTTTTGTAGGATTAAGAGGAGCACATGAGCTTGAAAGTGGAGACAGTCCAGATTTGGGAAAAAACTTTCATTGCATGTACAGCCATGTCATCCGCTGTGTCCAATACTTTTATATTTTTTGTCAAGTCCCGGCATGTCCAGTACATGTCCTGTCATGCCAGAGGCATGCGTCAGATAAATATTGGACACCGGTATGTAGGGGTACACGGCATGTCCATGCTTCATAGATATGCAGAGAAAGCGAGGAGGTAGTGCATCTGCTGATTGTTCCAGTATAATGCTGGATGAATACTGGAAGCATCCATGTAGAACAATTTGGAAAATAATAGAATACCAAGAAACAAAAAATAAGTCCAAAATTCAAGTCTCAATCCTCAAAACATCAAATCTCGAACAATGTCAAAGATTCAAAAGCTACCTTAACATAAGTACCAATAAACTACTCCCTAAACTTAGCACCTGGTAAAGAAGCAAAAATAAGTGGGTGATTGGCCTAACTTATGAAAAAGCATTTCTATTATAATAGTAGAAGCAAAGTGTTTGGCTCTCAAATTTTAAAAGAATTTAGCTTATGTGGGAAGCTCACTTGGGCTTAGTCGTAGCTAAAAATCAAACTTCTTCAAAAGGGTACTAATTGTAGTAACTAATATTTAATGAAATTCTTAATTATTCTCACTTTACTCTAGTAATTCATAAAACTATAAGAAGAATTACATTATTTCACATTCATCTTTTCTATTTAGTTCAATTCTTCTCCTTGATTTCATTTTTTGTTTGTCTTTTTATTTACAATTAACAAAAAGATTTCTTGATTATTTTAATTTCTTGCACTTACTACAGTTTCATTCTTTTATTTTATTTATTTATTAAAAAATATTACCAAATAGTTTTTACATCTACAACACTTCTGCATCAAGTTTGCCAAATATCATCCTCACTTCTTTTCACAAAACTTCAAAAAAGTTCTACTTTGACAGCACTTTCTACAAACGTTGTAGCCAAGCCAAATAGGCTCTATGTAATATCAATAACCTAAATACCTAAAATATAAGATATTACTATGAGGGGCACAAATTATAAAATATATCCCAAAATAATATATTTCTTCAATATGGATCACACATTCATGCCCACTAGAATCAGACATTAGTGATTGCCAGCAGTGAAGTTATCCCTGTAAGAACTTAACTAGCCTGGGCAGCATTAAGTGCTCAACCCAGCTTATCAAGGACATACCCTCTCAACCACACATTCCCTTTAAACAGATGTAGGCATTGTCTATGTTACTCAAACTCAAGGGTGAGCATCGGATACAATATTTGTCCAATAGGTTGTGGTAATTTTTTCTAGATTTTTCCATATATTTGGAGGGTCGGACCTCCATACCTATGCGCAGCAGATATATGCCAGACATGGGTACTTCAAGGAAAATGAAGTGCTAAAGCAACATATGGTGTTTCAAGAACAAGATCAGCCAACCTACCGCCTTCCCCAGAGATTGGACCCCATTTCCATCCCCCAAAAAAGATGTTATGCTTATATGCATAAATGATAGATCTGTTTGGCAGCAGTTTTATATTATTCATCTAAAGACCCCTAAAAAGTTAGCCACCATTCCTGTCATGGTTTTCCTTTGCTTTACATGCTTCATTGTGTGATAGCAGCTCGACGTAAATACATGAGTATAAAGATGGAATATTAACTTAGGCATAAAATGAAAAAGTAATCATTGAATTATTCCCCATCTTATGCCAAATTTCATATTTGAGTATCTATCTTGAATCTTATTGAAATAAGTATAAATGTGAAAAGTAAATAATCCTCTAACCATGGCATTTTTGGTGACAATAGAACATTCATATGCCATACCAATGTATATACATGTATGTGTGTGTGTGTGTGTTTAAATTTGAAAGAAAAAAGGAAGAATTGAACCATATCTATAGATAGAACAAAATCATAATAATAGCAACAAGGTAAGCATTGGTAAGTAGTCCAAACACCACAGCAAATCAAATAATATAACCGTTATGCTTGACTTGATCGTGCATACAGTACTACAATCAGCTCCAAACATTTGGAGTTCACACTTTTTGTCATCTGAAAGGCAATTAAATTTTTGTATTTACCAAAGAAAACCAACTGAAGTGGCTTAATTAAGGAACTTCTTTGTCAATGTCAAAATGCTGCAACAGGGAGAATCACTAGGAGCCTTAAAAACACAAATAGTCCAGAGATAGAATCCTCCTTACACCACCCACCTCCAGCCATATAACCCCAAGAAGAGGAAAAACAAAAAACAAAAAAAGGAAGACAGACAAGAGAGAGAAAGGTGAAAACAGAGGAAGGTGAGCTTGCTAATCCTATCTTCAAGAATTAAGTGAAAGATGGGTAAAAAAAAAATCAGAAAACAAGTAATGTTTAGATTCAGCTACCATTTCCAAAAGCTCCATCACTTTCAAATTGATTTTTTCTAAAACTTATATTCAAGAATTAAGTGAAAGATGGGAAAAAAATATATCACAAAACAAGTAATGTTTAGATTCACCAACCTTTTCCAAAACCTCCATCACTTTCAAATTGATTTTTTCATCACATGCCTCATTCCCAGTTTCCCATTTTATTGCTATCATTTCCACACACATTGCTTCCTTTACAATCACCAAATTCAACAAAATGAGCATCTAAGCATTTGATTCTCCAGGCCTTATTACTACATCTCACTTATGAAACCTACTTTCTAAAAGTTTTATGTGGTCATCAAATAACATGACTTGTAACAAATATAAAACAAGGTGCTATAAAAATCAACTTTGCATCTATATCAAGCCTCTCTCAATGAAATATTACATGCGAATTAATCTCTAACTGAATATACGATCATTTTTGTCCAAGTTACTTCTCTTTTTGTCCAAGTTTCCTCTCTTTTGTTAAACTAACTTCCTTTTTCCATTGTGAGTTTCAGGAATATCCGTATACATAGGTTTGAGATCCACATTTGAATTGAAAGGTCCAAATGATCAACTCTGCAATCAGTTATTAGAATCAATAGGTCTTCAAATCGTTCATTTGAAAAAATTGAAACTTTTCTTATTGGATGATCATAATACTTCTCAAAAACAAAAACCGAAATTCTTCATCAATGGAGGAACAATATCACCATTTTTGTTCAATAAGATACCAAAGTGGATAATTGACTCATCCCTTACTAGAAATAATCACAAGAAATCTTTTGATAACACAAACTCATATTTCTCAATGATATCCCACAATCAAGACTATTGGCTAAATCTTGTGAAACCATTTGATAGAACTTCAATGGTATCTTCTTTTTATAAAGCAAATCGGCTTTGATTATTGAATAATCCACATCATTTTGATTCCTACTATTAAAATATATTCCCTTTTATGTGGAAAAGGTTTGTATCATTAATTATAGTTTTATGTATGGACAATTCCTAAATAAATTGTTCATTCACAACAAAATATTTTCTTTGTGCAATGGTAAAAAATGTTTTTTTGTGGAGAGATTGTTTCACCTTCACCAATCAATAGGGGTTAAAAAAAATTTTAAAAAAACCGAAAATTAATTCAAAACTGTAGCATTCAATTCGATTCAAATCAATTTTTTTCTTATACAGTTTGGATTAAGTTCAGCTATTAAATTTTTTTTATTAGATTCAGATCGGATTGCAGATCAAGAAAACAAAAAACCAAAAACTTCTAAACCGAACCGAATTATATATTTTTATTAATTTATATATATAGTTTAAATTTTTATAAAATAAAAATGATTATTTTATATCTAAATCTATTTAAATATATTAAAAATCATATTAAAACAATATAAAAAATAAATTTCAAAAACCGATAAACCGAACCGTATCGAATTGTTAGAATTTAATTCAATTCGGATCAAATTTTAAAAATCCATAATATTATGCATTATTTGTAAAAACCGAACTCAATCTGATTCGACTTGAACCATTATCACACCTACCAATTGAGTTGCAAGTATCTAACATATTTATATCTAATGGTTTTCCACAAAGTGATGATAGATGTTATAACTTGTACAAATCTTTTCAATTTGCAATTTGATCCAATCCATTAGTTCGTAAAGCCATTTACTTAGTTGCAAACAATTCTAGAACACCTCTGACAAAGAGTCAAATAGTCAATTTTGAAAGAACATGCATCAATATCTCAATTTCAATTCAAGCATGGGTTTCATTCACACTCCATGTTCTGTGAAATATTTACCATCCAAAAAGCAGAAAAAATGAAGTCTGTCTAAAAAAATACGTTGAAAGGGTGGATGTATAGAACCTTTCAACAATATAGTGCTTTTTCAACTCTATCAAAATGAAATCTATTCAAGACATATATGCCATGGTTCTTTACTTAGTTAGGGTACAAATATCTAAACTACTCCATTGGTGGGGTCTTAGGCCCAAAGGAATACCTAGTTGCCTTTGAGAGTAGGAAGCTAAATGATGTAGAGAAGCGGATAGGATTTCTTAAAAAAAATGAGTACGAGATCGCTTCACACCTTCCTAAATGTGAATGGCGATCGATGGATTGGTCATCGGGTAGCGTGCGACTCGAGTTTCGGCATCGGTTTTCCGTCCGCTTGCCAAAAGAAGTTTTGATCCCCTCAATGGATGTTGAAAAATTGAGGGACATACCTTTTTGCAAGAGAAAGGCATTTTCCACTCTTCCAAAAGAGAGTAAGAGGTTTTTTGGATGTAGGGCTCTAAAAACCAAACGACATTTTCTAACAAATAGAAATTTTTATATTGAGAACAATACCAATAAAATTGGACAATGAAATCTGCCCTCTTATTCCGCTGCCAAATCATCACTCTATGAAACAACAAAATACATTGGGGTAACCCCTCCTAGACAAGTAAGTCCTTTCCTTTTTGCATTAGTTATGGACGAACTCACTAGACGTATCCAAGATAGGGTGCCATGGTGTATGTTATTTGCCGATGATATAGTCTTAGTTGTTGAAACTTGTTATGCCCTTAACACAAAATTAGAATTATGGAGGAGTACATTGGAGTCTCAAGGTTTTAAATTGAGTAGATCTAAAATTGAATATATGAAATGCAAGTTTAGTAGTCACAAGGAAGTGGGTACTAGTGTGATTAAGTTGGATGCTGAGGGAGTACCAAAGAGTAGCCAATTTCGACATTTTGGGATCAATTATTCAGAATGATAAAAGCAGATGTCAAACATAGGATTCAAGCAAGATGGGTGAGGTGGCAAAGTGTTTTGGGTGTCTTGTGTGATCACAACATGCCTTTAAAGTTAAAAGCAAAGTTGTATAAAACAACTATAAGGCTTGTATTACTATATGGAACTGGGTGTTGGGCTATTAAGAAACAACATGAGAAGAAAATGAACATAGCGGAAATGAGGATGCTTAGATGGATGTATGGTAAGACTAGAAGAGACAAAATCAGAAATGAATAAATTCAAGGAAAAGTAGGGGTAGTCCGAATTGAAGAGAAGACGAGAAAGGCCCGTTTGTGATGGTTTGGACATGTGAAACATAGGCCTAACTATGCACCGATTAGGAGAGTTGATTCTCTAGATCTAGGAAAGATCAAAACATCTAGAGGTAGACCACGAAAGATATGGATGCAAGTAATAAAAAATGATATGATGGTTAAAGAATTAGATGAAAAGGTGGTTGTTGATAGAAATAAGTAGGGCAAGAAAATTCAAACTACAACCTAATTTGATCCTCTTATTTGGTTTTTCACACTGCCGACCCTAGAGTATGGGATATAAGGCTTAGTGTGTTATTGTTGTTGTAGTTGTGATAAGGGATTTCAGTTCTCTAGAAATTGAATTCATTTCTTTCTTTCGCCACCATCAATGGAAACACATTCCTTCTCAAATAAAGATCTTCCTGTCTATTCAATCACTGATTTTGAGAGAGAAGGTGTGCGGCAAGACTCACCATCCACTCTGAGCAGCTTAAGCCCACCTACTTTGGAATGGAGTCAACGAAAGCTTCTATTTCAACTCATGTTCGGGTAGGAAGGCTGAACTAACAAAGCACATATAGTAGGGAACTCAATCAACACTTCTGAAGAGGCAAGGATCAGATTCCCCATCCAGACCGATTCTTCCTACACAAAGATAGTCCTATGAAAGATACATGGATTCGCATCCAAGGAGATAAGGAGTTTTGGCTGCTTGAGATTTGGGTCAATGCGGATTGGAGTGAGAAGAGGTCTTTCATCCATCCATGACGAGAATAATAACACTCATTGAGACAAATGCAAGTTATCCGTATAGACACAAAGGAACATGGTGGATAACTAGTTGCATCATGACAACTTAATGATCTCTAGCAAGGACGAGATTAGGAATAGCAATCGCTCATTGGCAAAATGCTCCATCTAACAAAGTGAAGCTTAGAAGCAACAATTTAAAGGAAAATTTTCACATTAGAAAAGGAGCCAAAATTTCATCAACTAACCTGTGACACTGGTTTGCATTATAGTTGGAGCAGTTTGCGAAGCTCCATATTTTTGCATTTCAATCTTCTTGAACTCTGAAATGTAAGTAAAGGTTAGAAAAAGCTATAGCCTACGCCAATCATAGTGTTGATAGTATCATAATTGGAAAGTTTTTAGCAATTCAAATGTAAAAGCAAACAAAGAAGCTAACCTCTGATTATCTTTTGTGATGGGCTCAGCCTAAGATTGATAGGCCTCGCTTCATTGCTATTTCTTCTGGCATCTGAAGAAAAAGAATTGCAAATGAAGATTTTAAATGAAAATTTTAGGGTTTCAAATGAAAAAGCAATTCAATCGTACCAGATTTAAGAGGAGAAGGAGAGTGGAGAAGGCCGACGTCAACAAAATAGGCAGCGAAAGTGAGGGTTTGGGCAGAGCAAACAACTTCATCTCTTCTCAACATCCTGCATTCAAGAAGCCTCTGGGACTCATCGTACAGCATCAACTGCGCTGCCATGATTACCAAATTATTTGAAATAAAGTGAGCAACAGATTGAAGCAAGAATCAGTAAAACTTAACCTTGTTGGTTGAAATGTGTAGATCTAAGAAACCGTCTTGATAAACTTTCCGCTTTTGTTTGATGTGCTTCGTGTACACAACACTCCATCTCTTTTTCTCTTCTTCCATTCAAATAACACTTTTGCAGTTTTGGTGGACTGCCGTCCTCTACGCCAATTACATGAAAGTTAGAGGCGCCAAGCAGAATGGTTCGGGTTCGGGTTATTTTTTGGGATTCCAAGGGATCCGAATCCATTCGGTTTATACCATTTTTTGGTTTCGTTTCGTTTGTTTCAACTTCAAATCAACGTCATTTTGTGAGATTTATTCATAAGTGTTAGTGTTACGGTAAATAGTTTTGAAGATTCAAATGCAGGAAATTAATTCTTCATTTTTCTTGAGGTATCTCAAGTCCATATCATTATTTTTTTTACTTTTGGCCATCCAAATTTCATATCCTTGACTGCTTTATTAAATTTAACACAAACTGTTATAAAAAATTAAATTTAAGAAAATTAATAAATATTTATATAAATATAAATAATATAAATAATTTCTTTCTTTTTACTTATTATAATTTTAATAGCATTTTAATTTTTCCAAAAGCATTGTTTTTATATCTAATTATTATTTTTTATTTCTAATTATTATTTTTTTTAACATAAATTATAAACATTAACATTAGATATAGTAATATAAATTAGTGATAACTTGGTCACCTATGGGTTAATATTAATTTTGTTATTTTCTTTTTATTTTATTATTTTTTATTTTTTTCACTATAATTTCATTTTTGATGATATTTTAATCAAAACTAACGAAAATAGAATATATTGTAAACTATTCTCCCAAAATATTTAGAATAAATTTTTCAATAAAATAAAATAATATGATATGAAAATTCCACAAATAGCAAAAATATACACATGGCATGCCACCTAAACATTTGTTATTATTTTTTTTTATGAAACTTTTATAGTAAAATAAATATTTGCTTAATATTAATTTTAAAGCAACTTTTTTCAAAAAAATAATCTTTTAAATAATTTAGAGAATTAAAATAAAAGGTTACATACAAAAATAACTTATGTATTCTACATTTTTCTTTCAATTTGATATCTAAAAAAAATAAAATATATATTTAAGCATCTAAACTTTCATTACATCAAACATTTTGGTGCTTTAAACCATAGTTATCAGAATCAGACTAGATCGTTAGTCCGACCGATTGCAGCGGTGAACTAATATTGAAACCAATCTAATTCTGTAATTAGATCTATTTTATAATTAAACCATTTTAAATCGTTGTAAACCGATAGTTTACATAATAAATCAGATTTTTTTTAATCGAATTGATTTAATACCAGTTAATAAGTTTATGTAAAATATAAAAAAAGCCCTTCGAGTATTCAAAATAATCTAATTAAATCATTGTACTACTATTTCATCTAAATAAGCTCTTAAACTTTTAGTTTTTACTATCAAAGCCTTTGTATATTTATATTAATGATATGTTGGCATATTTAAAGACATGTGGATAATGACATTACAAAAAAAAAAATTACACATGTGTAAAAATAAAACAATTTAAAAAAAATGATCTAATAAAAAATTTTATTAATTGATACCATACTTAAAAATAATTATAAAATTAATAAAAAAATAAAATATTAATAAAATGATTAATTGTTTGACTATGATAAAAATAATTAATAAAAGAAAATTTATAAATGTAAAATTAATAAAAAAATCTACATTCATATTAAAAATATAAAAATGATTTTAATTTCCTTTTTACTAATTTTCATATAAACATATAAATATTTCCTTTTTATTAATTTTATAAATAGTTTTTTTATTACATAAAGATTAATTATTATATAGTAATAAATAATATTTATATTTTAATAAATATAAATAATAATTATTTATAATTATTTATTACTTATTTTTTATTATATTTATTAAAATATAATTATTATTTCCAACTATTAAAATATAAAATATGATTTTAATAAAATGTAAAGTAATTTCATTTCTAACTAGTAATTAATTATTTTATGAATTTTGTATTTTAAAATTTGTAGTTTATGAAATACTTTAAAATTTATAGTTTTATGGTTAAATTATTAAACTATAACTTGAGTTAAAAGTTTGAATTTTGAATTTTTAAAATATTTATATTTTTATAATATTTTTTATTGAACCGATAATTGACCCAATTGACCATGTGGTTAAACTTTTAACCTAATGACCCGAAACGTTGAATAGTTTCATATTTAGTCCAATTTTGATAACTACAGTCCAAATCATTAGTTAAGTTGTTTACATAACATCAACATTTAATAAAATCATGACATGTGATAACAAAATACGACATCATTTATGTATCCACTGTCATAAAAGCATTTGAAAAAAATTTAAAATAAAAATTATGAAAAAAATAAAAATCCGAAATATTCAAACTATAAAAATTTCTTTGTGAAAACCATAAAAGAATAAAAAAATTTGATGAATGAAATACATATATGTTAAAACACATCATTTTCAACAGCTTTCTTATTCATTTTCATGCTTTTCGTCTTTTTTTTTTATTACAAGAGGACAATTTGACCATAATAAAAGAAGTGTATTCAAATTTCAGTGAAAATAAAAACAATTTCAGTAGTCAAATGGGGAGGCAATTAGGAGCCAAAAGAAATCAACAACCATCTGTTAGAGCAAACACTGAAAATCTGAAATTACTGCTTTTAGTAAATCTAGAATTTTGATGAAAGGTTCCAAGGCATGTAAGGATACTAATTTTCTTAAAAATTTTATTTGCCTTTGCCGTATTATTTACTTAGTAGTGTGCAAAAAGGTTGTAGGCAATAAATTTTAAGGATACAATAAAGCTCAGTGATTTACTATGTTTTGCACCGACGAATTCAATCCACCAAGCAATCACCAGCATATTATAAGATCACTAAACTTCTATATAGATTTTCTACAACAAAACTTTTATAAAAGAAATCTGAAGCTTGAAAAAAGAGAGAGAGTTCCAAGAATTGTTTTCTATATATTTTTAGAAAATCAGAAGAGTCTTTTATAAACAGATAAATGACTTTTCCTACAAACATGACTATTTATTTTGAATAGACAAAAGTTATCTATTTTTGAATAGTTAAAACTATTCATTTTGAACAAACTTATTTGTCTATTTTGAACAGACTTAACTATCTATCTTTATTTTTTTCTTTTTCAATGTAGGATTATTTCTCATATCTTATTTTGAAAATCTCTAACAATCTTCCACCATTTTTAAAATAATCTAGATTTATGATGACCTTGAAAATTAATTGCATAAATGAATGTATCTTTCGATTTGAACCTTCACTTAGTGAAAACAAGTTAAAGTTAACCAAAATCGTATAGTAGACTATACTTTAAATCAGCTATTCCATTTAGTTAACCAAATTTGTCCCACACAATGATCTCAACACCCAATGAATGCTTGTATCCGATGACATATTTATGGTCATATGTCTTCATCCTCTTTTATGAGTGTTGTTAGAGCCAAGCTTTTAAGCTCTTAGAAACGGCCACACTTCGTACTTACATAGGTAGCGCCCATCAAAAGTGTTCCCATAACAATAAAACTCTAACATAATTATGTTATGGGTCTATTAAAAGTATATTACTCATCTTTTCTTTACCATTATAGGTACCTAGTGCTTTACCTATGATGGCATTAAACATTACTATAGTGCTAACAATCACATACAAATGACATACTTTGTCTCCTTTTTCAATTTTTTGTAATTCGATGTGCTTTAAAATTTTGCTGAGTTGGTTAAACAACCCAAATCATTTTAACCATAAAAAAATGCATTAACTTTCGCCCTTAAGTAGTTATAGTTTCACATCTTAAGGCACATTGACCCAAAAAGCAAAATTCCTTGTTGCTTGAAACAATTTGTCTCATGCCATGATACATTAATACATTTTCCCCTATTTTTTGCAAAAATATGCCTAATAATTTGGAACCAAAATTAGCCTTTTTTTGTACTTTGCAATGAAATTTGAGACATTCTATGCAATATGACTTTCATCATCAAATGAACTCTCATTTAAGTAGGTAAATAAGATAAGGCATCATTCATGCAAAAAAAAATTAATTGATGGTTACATCATGTACTTGAAATATTCAAATGATTCCAACACGAAAAAGAAATCAAAGAGAAAAACCAAAAATATAAAAAAATGAAAAGAAAAATAAAAAAAACCTTTTTTAGCTACTTTTTCATGGACTTGCTCTTCAATTAAGTGATCATAGTTAAAATGATGAATAGCCATCCTTTTTTATCATTCACATATAGAAAATTATTCACTTACTACTCATTTAAGCTTATTGAATATCTCTTTCCAAAACAAACTCCAACCAAGGATCATTTTCTACATTATAGGGTAAAATAAGAACATGCTCAATAATCATGGGCAATAAAGCCCTACATCAAAGAAAAATATCTTATTTTGAGATCCTTTAATAGTACCTTGAATATGAGAATTTGGGGCAAAAAGTGAATGGATTGAGTTTCAAGTTAGAATCACAATTGAAAAAGAAAGATGAAATTCAAGAAAGTGGAATACTAAGTCAAAGTTGAATGTTTCCAAAAAGGAAAACGAAGAAAGAAAGTGACAAATGTCTCTTTATCTAGAAGAATGTTCCATAAAAAAATGAAATGATCCTTGGTCTAATTACCTTAAAAAAATATTTTGGGCCTATTTATCTATTTTTTTAGAACCCTAAACCTTAACCTATATTACGTACTTTGAAAAGTCCATTTTAATCAAATGTAGATGCTTGAATTGAAGAGCTATAGCTTTGTAAATTTGTAGAGATTTTATCAAGTCCCTCATTATTAGAAACTTCTCTTTGGTGTGAATTTGTTTTTCTTAAAGAGAATATTTTGAGTATTAGAGCGCATGAGGGAATCATTGACAAAAAAATAAAAAATGAAAAACAAAGAAAAAAATGTAGCTCTATGATGAAAACCCTAAAAAGGCAGTCTAGAGCTAGAACAATATTTTTATGCTTTAAAAGAATTCTAGAGTTTTCAAGGTTCTATCTAGAAAAGCAATTTATGATGAAATTATTGACATGAAAGACCTTTTAAGATATCAATAACCATTAAAGACTTTGCATCTCCTGAAAAAGAAAGAATTGAAAGCCAAACCTTTTTCTCTTCCAAATCTTTAAGAAAAAATGATGGCTAGTTTTAATGCACATTGAAGTATCATGTTAAGGAACTGAAAGAATGCCAAACCATGCTTGATTTTCAATAAAAGGAAAGTGTTTTGAAAAAATTATTTCTTTTGTGAGCTAAAACAATAAAAAGAAAAGAGAACTAATCATTTCTTAATTACAATCCTTGTCAAGCCTCCTTGAAATCT